TTTTTTTTTTTTTTTTTTTTTTTTTTTTTTTTTTTTTTTTTTTTTTTTTTTTTTTTTTTTTTTTTTTTTTTTTTTTTTTTTTTTTTCAAGGTTCTTAGGATAAGTCTGAAAGAGTCTGAGGGGCCAGTTTTCCACAATCTAGTCGCTTGCTTCAGAAGGATGCTGGATAGGTAGACAAAGCTGTCCCCTAGTTAAATGAAGGGTGGAAAGAAGGAAACCATCCAGGAAGCCCAGGGCCTGCTCTGCCTCTCCTCTTCCTTAAGAAAGTCCTTTCTTTTGCTTCAGCTGGTTCAAGCTGAGTTTTCCAATCAGCATCCTGAAAATATGGCAACAAAGGACTAGAAGTGGAAATACTGCACACATAATAGATGAGAAATACTTTCCTTACACAGTCGGATTTCTTTAGGTTTTCTCCCAGCCAAGTTCAGAACTGAGAGCAATCTTCTTGTTTTATGTGGATTTTGATATATTCAGGATGTGCCTGGTTTAAATCAGTTAGACCCTTGCAGTGGATCTGAGTTGTAACAGCAAGCGTTTGAAAGGAGTGTGGCAAAATAATAAAATATGGACAGTCTCTCTCACTCAATGAAAAGGGCACACAAATTCTCCTCTGCTCCATTTTCCACTCCACTAGGTGGGTTAACCTCTCTGGTGCTTGTGGCTCTCAAACCCTTCTGTCTAAGCTTTCTTCCAAGCTGCTATCGGAGCAGGCTCATTCATAAAGAGACTGCAGCCCTAACAGATGGAAAGGAGCAAAGGACGGAAAGCCAGAAGGAGAGCAGTCAGGACAGCTTAGGCAGGTGACTGAGGCTCTGAAGAGAAGAATTTGGATAAGGGAGTGGTCCTTGTTCACAAGGCATGCGAGTACAGGAAGGTGGGAGAGGCTGATGTCTGTGACAAGGATGCTGTAGTGGGTGGGCTGAGGAGAAGAGGGTGTGGAAGGTAAATGATTTTTTTCCACAGAGTAGTTCTAAAAGGAAGGGGAAAGATGAGAACTTGAAGAGAGTGGGTCATCAGAAAAGAATGGGATAGAGAACTGGAGATGGAGACGGGACATGGGGTGAAGCTGCAGAGGAATGGGCAAAGGACCCCAGAGCATAGGCAGGATGCTGAGCCTATTGCCTGATGGAGGCCATCATAGGTCCTTAACAGCATTAGAGGAGGATATTTAGCCACCTTTGAGACCACAGAAAAAGGAGAAGAAAATTCAATGAAGTTTAATTCATATTATTATGTATTTACTGTTCATTCATAATCTATTTCATATTTTATTAGTAATCTGGCAATTCAGATTTTAACAATGTGGGATATTTATTTTGGATGAATTAGCCATACAAATACATAATGTTAAGGGGTGTTTCACATGTAGAAGTTGGTAGAACAATAAAACATCATTTGAAGGCTTGTGACCAGACCTCACTGAAGACTATCTTAGATGGATGTCCACAAAGTAAAACTCATTACATGTTTGAGAGATGGAAAATCCATCAAGAAGTCTCTGGGGATTAGAGAAGATGAGCTTTCAGTAGATGACTGTTAGCCAACTAGTGGACGGAGTAATTGTGGGGGTTAAACAGCAATAACGTTAATTAGAAGGTCTTAAAAATGTGACTCAGTACAGTAATACCAAGATCTATGAATATTTTTTCCTAAAAAAAATCTACTGCTTTTTATTATCATCCAAATGTCATTTAAGTTAAGCAGAAATACAACCACAGTTAAACTTTGAACTCGAGAGAATTCTCAAGTACTGTCACATTTCCTCTTGGTGAAAGAGGCTATTACAGGGGATCTTACACATGATTCTGGGTGTGTTGTGTCCCATTGCAGCTGAAGCATGGAACAACCTGCACCTTTTCACAGTTCACTCAGACCATCCAGAAAAGAAATACTGATTTATAGCTCAGATGCAGTAATCCCACTAATGTATGTTTTATCACCTCCAGATGGTTCGAAGGGGAGGGCAAGGGAATTGTTGCTTGGTTCCCTTGCTGGGCATCAGCCCTGCCACTGTGAACTGGAAAAAGCATGTGGCTTTTCCCAGCCTCAGTTTCCTCTGCAGGGATTTGGATGAAAGGTGGAAGAAAGTGAATGATGTCATCTCTGAGGCCTCCTCCCAGCTCTCAATTCCGTGAGCCCATGCTTCCATAGTGATGGAGCCAGGAATTGGGTGCTATGTGATCCACGCACTTGGTAACAGAATCCATCCTGTGGGCTCTTGGATGTGCCCTGCTCCCTGCTCTGCTGTCTCAGTGCCACTCCTGTTTCCCTCAGGTGCTATTTGGAGCTCATGCTGCCTTCTACTGAAAGCCCTTTTATACCTTCCTATTCCATTTGGGATGACATCCCAGGGCTTTTCCAGGGCTTCCGAGATGGTTACCACCTCACCTTGCCTACTCTCCCATCACATTGCCCCAATTCTCTCTCTGGCTCATGCTATCACAGCCAACCTCAGATGGTTCTAGAATATTCCAGACCCTCTCCGACTTAATCTTTGCATTCATTTTGTCCTGTGCCTAGAATATCCTCCACATGTTTTTTCATGTGGCTGGCTCCTTTTCATTCTTCTGCTCTTATGTCAAATGTTGTCTTCCTAGAGGGCCTTTCCTGATCATTTCATTACCATCATGACCCCATATCACAGAACCCCTTTGGTTTCCTGTATCACACTCCTATTTTATTTGTTTGTTTACCTGTTTGTCTATCTCTCCCCTCAGGAAGATAAGCCACAAGAGAGATTTTCACTCATGAGTGTGTTGCCCAGCCCAAAATAGAGCCTGTTGCCACCCCTCCTTCCTAGAATAGTATTTGCTGAGCACTTACTCTGAGCCAGTCACTGTGCTAAGCCTAATTATTATTTAATTAGTAGTATTATTGTTCAATATTTATTTTATTAGTGATAGCTAATACCATGGAGCTAGATGTTATTTTTATCCCAATTTAAATGAGGAAACCAAGATACAATTGACCTGTTCAAGGTCACATGCTATATGACAACACCAGTGGTGCTTTAGAACTTGTACCCTTAACTGTCCTGTGGTGCTACCAGACCTCCTTTTTATTTTTTATTTTTTGGAGAGGTTTTTGCTATAGGGCATGTGTGTTCATCAGAAAGACAGAAATAGAGAGACAGAAAGCGAGAAATCACCCCCTGGGGGGATGGCCACACTGCAATCCCTTTTCCTCCATCCTCCTCTCGGGATCTTGGGCATGCATGCACATGCAGCTGGTGTGACTTTAAGCCATCAGGTCTGGGACTCGAACACAGTCGATTGCATGGGAGTCCAGCCACATAGCCATTACGCCAACTGCTGGTCCCCAGCACTACCAGACCTTCTAAGCTGGCTAAGCCTTTGCTGTAGGAGTTCTGCTAAGTGCTGGATAAATACGTGTGAAGTGGAATAATAGATCAATGAATACATGGATGAATAAGTGAATTTGAATAAATGAATAAATGAATGTGGCAGCCCTATCTTTTTTCCCCTAAGACTAGCCTTTTTTCCCCTGGTGACATATGTTCCATATTTTTCTCTGGTACCATGACTTGCCAGGAAGCAGTGAATGAAACCAAGAAGGT